TTTCGCTTTGTTTTATGGAGCTGGATCACCACACCGCACCATCGGTGCCGTTTTTTGTTTTATCATGGCGCAGGGTGGCTATATAGGCCGGTAATTGCTCTCCTCTGTGCCGAGCCGTGCTGCGCCGTGCCACTCCACACGAATCCAGTTGCCGGTCAGACGGTGCTCCAGACACCAGTGGTGCCTCAACTGCGCCGTTTCCCGCGCGTCTGGGGCTGGCTGGCTGGCTGGCACGCCTGGAAAGCGGCGCAGTTTGCTCTCAGCCACCGCCGCCAGTCCGCCAGTCTCATTCCCGCCTGGCGCGCCGGCTGGTCCGCGTCTCTCCCGGGTGAAGGAGGCTTTCGTTATCGAGTCTGAAACTGTACCGCTTTGCTTGTGACCGTAAATTCGCTATAGTGATGCAGCAATACATGGCTGACTGACACTCAAGCTGCAGGTGAATGGCAAGTGGTTTCTTGAACTGCAACAGTTTCAAGCAGCGTTTTTGTCAATCAGTTCCTGCATACTGTATTCTGAAAATTGTATCTATATATATACAGTATGTTCATCGCGCTTCATTGAGCTAGTGTGACTGTTGTGCTGTGACGTGTGCGTGCTGTTGATCCCGACTCCTGGGTTTTATTTCTACGACCATTTTGTTTATCGGCGACTCCGGATGAATAAGGTGCGCCGCGTTTTTTTTTTTAAATTTTATTTATAACACATGTGTGCGGGAAAACAACGAATTCGTCTTGGACAAGAGGAAAGCATTACAATGAAAATAAATTGATTGCAGTATAGTTGAAACTCTATAGCTCGAATACCTGTCCTATGTCAAATTCCTTCAAAGCCAAGAGCGCTGAAAGCCTGAATAAATCCAAGGCTTCCCTACAACCCCTCTCAAACCTCCAGAATTGGAATTTTCCCGTGGGCCTTCTGGCTATTACAGTATTTTATTAACACTGGAAATAGAAAATCAGTGCAAATGTGAATTGATGCGGTTTGATGAAAGGGAGTGAAACACTAATTTGGGCAAATAAACCCTTGCCTTAAACTTCAGCAACCTGTCAGTTCGTCCTGGAAGTAATTTAGGGCCCAGAATATCACTAATTAACTATGTCCTAGCTGTAATTCTTCCTTCTGTTCCCCTGCAAAAATGCTTGTTTCCCCCTAACTCAAATCCTCCCTTAATTCTGGTCCCTTGAAGTTTGACTCAAGGGGGTTTGATTGTGTTTTATATGAGTTCAGTTGCGTCTCATACGACGAACCACGTTTGTTCCAAGGATAGAGTGCATGGTTTGTCATTCAAGACTGACTGACATGATGTGTGATCACTGTGTTTGTGTGTTTTTCGTTGGATGTCAAGGGAGAGGTTAGGTGTATGCTTATATTTACAGCTGAATTAAATTTCAAAATATGGTTCGCAGCTATAGAAATACGCAAGTACCTATTGCACTGATGCATTGTGTCATCTCTTATTCGGTGACGCGTTTTATTCGATGATCTGTTTTTATTATACAGTACTTTACTTGTACACTAAACGCAAGACATTTAATTTTTATGCTTCTCGTCGAGGTTATTTTTGTATTGAGTACACAGTAGTTTCACTGGAGGGGGCATTTCTATAAACCGTTGTTCTTACGAGGTTCGTTTCTCTGGTAACGGTCGTTTTTAAGTCGATTTTAAAATGGAGTTAAACGAAGCAACCGCGGTTTCGGCTTTGTTGCGAGAGTTCGTGCAACGAATGTGTACCCTATAATCCCCCAGGGCCTGGGTTCTTACGCAATTTTGGCTTCGAAGGCGATTTGGGACCAACAAACATCACTGCAATACTGTAGTTCGACAAGTGATAGAGAATTAGGGAGCCATAAAAAAAGAAAACCATGGGCTTTCGTAGAACACCGGGTATTTCGCCAAGACTGCTATAAATTTATCTTAATAACGCCATACTAGATTTGTAGAATGCACAAGCTTCTGCGGTGAAAGGCCAAAGAGCTCAGAGAGTTAATTGCTTTATAGGTTTGCATCTGAATGACGATACTTTATACAGTATTTGTGAGATTGTTTCTTCCTTTGTTTGCCTGTAATGCAAGCAGGAAATTGAGAAATTCAACTCACAATACAGTTGTGAGTTCAAGTTGTTTTTTATGAGGTGCTGTGTTTATTTGTGCTATTTTTTCAATCAAAAATGCTGACCGTTATCCAAATTGAAGCTCCTTTTTATTCTTAAAAAAAGTGCAGTACTGTACTGTTTCTTCACTCTGTAGTGATTAACAGCAATTGCTGGTGATATTTTCGCCTTGTTCTTAGTTCGAAACCTATCAGTTTTTTTTCTCGAATAAATGATGATCGAATAGCCATGGTATCTCTGAAACTATTGATGCGAAAATTCTGAATTCATTTTGAGAGAATGCTGATCGAACATGTTTCAACATGCATGTGTTAAATTTCACGAATGTTGAATATGTAGTAATTTATTTGTAAAATTTATGAATTCTAGAAACAAGAAAATTTGAAACGTGTTGGTTTCTTTTCTCAAACGATTTTCAGAGAATGGTAATTTTGGCTGACCATGTTCTTTCGAAATCAGTTCCCAATCCATTGTAAACGGTATTCAGTCAAATACTGTATCACACGACCATTTTTTAGACACTCACGAAGTACTTTGCAATGTTGAAAAAAAAAAAAACCGGGAAATAAAATGCTTCAAGAACCCATGTTTAAACTTGTACAGTACAGTATTTGAGAAGCGTAGTCTATGCTTCCTTGCCAGAATTTCGAAAAAAGTTTTACGTGGCCTTGAGTAAATTGAATACTTTATTACAATTTTAAATACTGTATTCGATATTTTCTGAAACTTTCGTGCTTTTTTTTATAGACAAGCTCTAAGTAGCATTGCTATACTTTTCTTCGAAATTGTCTTTTCTCTGAAAATTTGAAAGCCATGAAAAACGACGGAAAACGGAAGCCACTCGATGATTTTTGTGGAATCCCGCGAATCAATTGATTGTTGGAAAATGGGAAAATGAAAGGATTGGAATTTTTGCTGAATCTTTCCCGAAATCAAGCTCTGTTCGCGAATGATGGAGTGTTGGGGCACGAAAATGCCGCGGAATCGCGTAGTTTTGTGGATGTACATTAACTGAGCCCGAATCGTCATCAGTGTTGGTGCTCCATAAAAAGTGAACGTGTTTCAGAAACAAAAGGGAGCAGAAAATAAAAAAAATTCAGCATCGACTCTCGTCATCCGTATCGGGTCAAGTACAGTCAGGAACTATACTGTCAGTTCCGTTGGTTCCGAGTGGTGAAGAAAAAGTGGTCGGAAAACGTGGTGCTAAAAATCTGTGGTGCCGTTTCTTCGGGGCATGAGCCCCGATTGCGGCGTCCGTTGCCTTCTTCGTCAGCGTCGTCGTCGTCGCCGCCGCCGTCGTCGTCGCCCTCTTCTCTCTCTCCCCGCCCATCATCATTTCGGAAGCCCCACTGAGTCAGCATGGATGGCATGGTGAGGCCAATGGGCGCCGCGGCGCCACCGCATCTCAAGAAGGTCCTGCGCAGCTTCCAGTCCTCAGCCATGAAGTCTTTGCAGGGCCCAGTGGGTGTCGAGGCCTGGGCTCGAGTCGGCGGTGGCAGTGGTGCCAATAACAACGACGACGATGACGACGAGGCAGAGGAAGAAGAGGAGGAGGAGGAACAAGCGTTGTGTCTTATTGCGCCACCGGGTGGTACTAGCAGTGGCGGCAGTGGTGGTGCGCATCGGCGTTCGGCGCCAGTGCTCACGGCGCCTGATCCGAGTGTCGGCGAACGGACTGAGACGCTGCTGGAAAACGAGGTCATCACTTGCTTCCGCGTTGGCGGAGAGGATCGGTGAGTTTTTCTTCCCCAAATTTTTTTCTTTTTTTTATTGTTATGCGAAAATCAGATTAAAACAAAATGAAAGCATAGAACAGCCATGAGCTAAGTGCGAATATGAACGTTTGCAGTTGCGAATTAAAGACGCTGACGATGATCTGAATTTCGACCATTTCGTTGATAGTTTTTCCCGAAAGATTCCGCGTTCAAAATTTTTTTTACATTGCTTATTGTCATTAAATCGGACTAATCAATTTTCTGACGTGAAACTGTCGAGCTATTTTGGGCTTAAAATCTCGAGAATTCGCTCGCACAAATGATGTGAAACATTTTTGTTGTTTATTCTGTAAACTTTAAAACCCGAATGTGTATTTTACGTCGTTTCTGACAGATGATACGATGAAAACAGGAAATTGTAACCAATGCCAATTCATTTTTCATTCCGTTGTTCCGCTATCCAGATCATGATTATCTTAAAAAATTTTCACTGTTTAATTTTGAACGTGTTCGGCCTTTGATGTTGAAATCCATGAATTATTCGAACACGCGCATGTTTCGATGCCAAATAAATTATACACATTTAAAAAAAAATTCACGATAAAGGAAAAACGCGCTGTCGACAGGCGAAAACGTACTCGAAGCTCCTTTCCAACTAAAAAAAAAAATAGTACTGTATTTTGAAAAATTGAAGCCAATTCTGGTTCTTTTCCTGCTGATTTCTGGCATTTTACAACTTCTTCCGTCCTGGACAAATTCACAAATGAATTATGCCGGTGCACCTTTATGATATCAAAACTCACGCCAACTTCAAAAATAATATCCGTTCCTTCACGGTTTATAATGCAACTCCTGGAATACAAATAATCGTGATTTAAATTGTGATTTAAATGATTGTGATTTTGGTTCTTGATTTAAAAAATACTGCTTGGTATTTGTAATCTTTTTTGAATATCGACCAGTCGTAAACTTATTCATCAATCACCGTTTTCCCCACAGGGAAATAATGAATCCATAAAAAAAATTTTGCTCTGGTCAATAAGATGAAATAACTCTGTTTCAGCAAAGCAAATCAAGCCTGGGTGTCCATGCCTCAAAAAATACATTATAACGCATAAAAGTGGCATGCGTCTGAAACAATTTTCGTGTGCACGTAATCTCGACGTTTCTAATGATTGAAAAAAAAAACAAACAAAAAACAAAATATATATGCTTGCATATCGAGTGACTTAAGGACGAAAGGAAAAAAGAAATAAAACAGGGATTAAGAACAGCGTGGAATTTGATGAATGATTCACGTCGGAGAATCTCGGCGCCTCTGCTCACTGCCACTCGACGTGTGCTGGGGGCTTGTGCGTCACGTCGATCAGGATCCTGGAGATGCCAGGCAGCTTCTTCAGCGTTGTCACGATTTCCTTCATCGCCTGTTTACCACCCCGAAAAGAAAAAAAATATTGTAAGAAAACAAAACGAGATTCGATTAAATGTCTATGTTTTCCGCATTTTAATGCACATATGATCTTGGTTGATACGATGTAAAACAAATTTTGATGAATGGGAACCAATCTTGGCTCATTTTCATGGGGGTTATTTTTTTTTAATTTGCGGAAAATGATCGATTTTATGCATTTGAAGGCTCATACAATGGTTGGTTTGATAATGAATGGGAATCCATCTTGGCTCCTTTCCATGAAGATAATTTTCTATTTGTCGAAAAGTCGTGGCTCATTGTCATGGAGGTACAGTAATTTATTTTTTATGTGCCAAAAATGATGATTTTTAGCACTTGAAGGCTCATGCAATGGCTGATTTGATTCTTTTATTTAAATGGATGAGAATCCATCTTGGCTCCTTTCCATGAAGATCATTTTTATTTGCCAAACATTCCAATGTTTCTGCCTTGTAATCCCCGTAAAATAGCTGATACGGTTTTTTTCTTTCAAATATATGAATATAAATGAATTTTGGCCTTCTTTTTCATGAAGCTTCTCCGCGTTCCAGATCATTATTTTTTGAAAAAAGGATAATGTTTCTGCATTTTAATGCACATACAACAGCTGATACGGTTTTCTTTCTTCAAAGAAATGTATAGGAACCAATCTTGGCTACTTTTCATTCTGCTTCTCCAAATTCCAGACCATTAATATTTGCCAAAAATGAATTTGCAATCGAATGCAGAAAAAAATCGGCTTTGCGATTTTAAACGCATTCATCAAAAACAGCTTTTAATGTTGAAATCCGTGAATTATTCCAAGACAAGCATGTTTCGATTTTGAAAAAATTTCACACATTTTTTAAAAATTCACGAAGAGAAAAAAAACATGCTTTTCCCAATTCCCATGAGCGAGACAATTTAGCGCAGATTTCAACATAAACGTAGTAGGAAGTGCAACTTGAATCGGCTTGTGACCCACCGTTGAAAATCCATCAAAATTTCGTTGAGTTACAAAATTGTTGTTATAACTTGACTATTTTGCTTTCTTCAATACCCTCCTGCTTGAGCGGATCAAATTCCACCTGAACTTGGACGAACCTTCGTTGAAGCTTGTCGAAAGTTCTCAAATCTTCCATTTAGCAAGTAGAAAGAAAACATATTTTATTTTCGCCATTTGAAGTAAATTCTGTTACTTTTTTAAAACTTGCAGTACAGCATTGAAACGGATAAAAGCTTGCGTGACCCTGTTGAAAAATCATCAAAATTGCTTATTGTAACAAACTCGGTGTCATAGTTGAATTTATTTCTTTCGTCAATAACCCTCCTGCTTGAGCGGATCGCATTTCATCAAAACTTGGATGAAACCTGCGTTGAATCTGGTCGGAAGTTTTAAAATCAAATCTTCCATTCAAACAAAAAAAGTTGAAATTTAAAATGCATCCCATTTTCGGCGCTCGGATTAAAATGCCGCTGGAATCGTAACTACAGCATTGGGACGGATAAAGCTGGTGACCCCCATATGGGAAAATATATAAAAAAAAATTTTCTTTTAAAATTCCTTCCGCTTGAGCGAATCCAAGTTTCACCTGAACTCGGACGAACCCTCATAAAACTCGGTCGGAAGCTTCAACTCAAATCCTCCATTCAATTAATCAAAAATTTTTTAAATTCTACTTCTTGGTGTTGTTCCGACTCACGTCATTGGGTATATCTTTCCCCGGCATGGCGGCATGACCTGACATGAGGGTGGGCGAAATGAACGGCCGGAGAACGATTGACCGGCGAACTGACGGCTCCCCGCTCAACAGCCCGCGATCAAAGTGGATCGGGATCAAAACCACCGGCATTTGGTCCACCTTGTTGTAAACTCCTTTCTGTCTCAGCACCTGAGGGGGGGGGGGGGGGCATGTTTCATTGCATTGTTCATCAGGGGATGTTGAGAAGTTTTATTACCTCGTTAATGTGGGATTTCGAAAAAATTACGGCGTGATGTTGAAAATGGGTTGCGGCTTGGTTGGGACAGAAACTGGTTTAAAAGAAATGGGTTGGGTAATATTGTGTGCATGAGCATACTGCTGCTTGATGAAGCTCATTTGTAACAGCGATGAAATGTTCGTGATCATCATCATCTGAGTTTTACAGGACACCGGGGGCATTTCAAAAGTTGGTAAAGGCATTATAATTGAGAAGTTCGTGCGACGTATAAACTATAATCGAATGCCTCGCGTTTAGGCCGCGTCCGATATTTTTTGTTGTTGATAAATTTTGTGCCATTCGACAGTTCATTTTTCCAAGGAATTATCCGCAAGATTTTCCAAGCTAGAGATGGTTTCTGTTCGTTAATAAAAAAAAGTGGACCTCAGGATGAAAAATTATTTGCTCCAAGAAATTTTCACTCCCTGGCCCAAAATCAAACCAAAGTTTGGGTTAACGTACTGTACAGTACTTCTTTCCAGCAAACATCCCTCAGTTCACGAACGAAACTTCAGTTGACAATGGCGGGTTCAGTATGATCGCAAACAATGAATTTTGATTTTAATTTCAAAAGCCTGCGTCATGGCATCTTATTGCCATTAAGTTCGCGTTTTTCGATTTTATCCTGCTGAAATTGCTTTTATTATTGTGCAATTTGTTGCTCTTCTATGATTTGTGTTGTGATCTGAGACCAAGTGTTTTGAACTTCGCACCTGAACGACTTCGGAACACGTTTTCATGCAAAATACAGTTCTGATTTTGCTAATGAATTTTTCCCCTGCATCTAAAGGGAAATCGCGAAGAAATCAAGGCAGGTCAATCAGCTAAGCTGCGAAGGGATCATAAAATTACTTCAAATTTTTGTCAATTTGTCTTTTCTGAGCTCCAATCCAGTTGAAAGTCGGGTCAGTAAAAATTGAGAACAGACTTCTAGGTCCCTAAAGACACATCACTGCACACTCGGTAGAGCACATGGCGACTGAGTAAAATTACTCCAAGTCACGCGATGTAGAAAAAAAATCCCACGTTTAAAAAAAAAAAGAACCGGTACACATTCTATTTCTAAAAAAATAATAAAAAAAATACTTACATCGTGAGCCAAATAATCGGCGGCGCGAACCATGTCATAGTTATGACGCGTCATGTAAGTGGGCGTTATGTCTCGGATGATGTGTGGAACTTTGCCGCCAAATGCGTACGCCACTCGATTCACGTCGTGGCACACGCGGCAAATCATTCTGGCCATGAAAAAGACGTCCTCCCATTTGGGCGACAAGTCCTTGTTGTCCGACAAGGCGCAAGCATAATAATAGGTCTTTTTGGGACCCTGCGAAAATGAACGCATCTGAATTTTTCATCTGAAAATTTTTGATGAAATCCTATCCCCGGGTAAGACGCCCACCCCATTTTCAGTGACTAAAAAACTACAATGCAGTATTTCAAAAAAAAAATGAGAGACCACAGAATTCAAATTTGAGCATGAATTCCTACTGAATTCAATTAATTTTCAATTTTTTTCTAACATTTCCCATCACATTCCAATATGGAGCGCTCCTCCCCTTTTATTTCCTCTCAATTTTCGTGAAAAATGTGCGCGTGGTACTTGAGTAAATTCTGTAAAAGCTCACAAATTACACCTGCCAATTGTTCTATTTGATTCAAGATAATCACATCTTTCTAACCTACGTGAAGGATATGCCAGAATATTTGTGTGAAGAGAAACAATTTCATAGAATGATGGTCCGTCAAAAAAAATTGGCAGGGAAATTTGAACGGCATCATCATTTTGCGGGGAAAATTCATCAACAGTTGTACTGGAAGTTTTATTGGTAAATGAAGCTTCACCTCGAGGTAATTTTAATTTTGACTGAAGTTGGATCTGCGAGTTGAACTCTGCGAAAAGCTACATCACAGAACTGCATTTTTCTAGACGTTCTGAAAAAAAATATCGTTGCCAAAATTTCTGACGTAGAGATCTGGACCTGATTAGGAACTAATGAATACTTTTTAGTTTTTTCCGAATCCAGCTATCGAAGTACATAAAATAAAAATTTCACAACTCTTCCAAAAATTTTGCTAGGATAATAAAATTTAAACAAAAAATTTCGGGAAACCTGAATATAATCGTGAAATTTCTTTTCGGGAAAATCCTATGCCGTCCGAATTTCCTTTCTAAATTCGAATCGTGTTTTGCTAAACAACTCGGATACTGACAAAACAAGCAAACAGTACGACTTGAAAATTTTGAAATTGCTGCCTCTTTTCTTCTCATCATTTTAGGCATTATTTCATTAAATGAATAAAAAAAAGAATAAAGAGGTTGACTTACGTGCATGCCAACAACTTCGAGTGGCATAACAGTTGCCACAAATTTGCTTCTGGCAGCCACGGTCTTCATCTCCTTCCTGTCCTCCTCATCCGTGGCTCCGAGGATGAGGCTCATGAGGGCGTGGTCTGACTTGACCTTGTCAAACTCGGTGACACATTTGCACAGAACCTGGGTTTCGGCAAAGTGCCGACCCACGTGCACAAGGTGCATGGACACCAGTCGCAACGCGATCCCGATCTCGCTGATGGTTTTTTTTTTTTTAATTTTTCCGTTGGATTTCCGTTTGATTTTTTTTTTCCGCGACGTGAAATATCACGAACAGTGTGTTTTTTTCATGTGTGGTACACATGCGGAGGGGGAAAAATAATCAGAAGCAGGAAAATCTACATTATTTTCGGTCGAATCTTAGTTTTTAATATTTTTACGACCTCCGATCCAGGAAATTCCGTCAAATAAGGATTCCCATCGAATAATATGTGAGTTTAAAAAATTCGGAACTTTCTTCTGGCTTTAAAATATCACCATTCGTCACATGATTATATTTCACGAGAAGAAGTTGTATCCGAAGAGAGACATCAAAATTTTCAGTATTATTATTATTACAGTACATTACTGCATTAGTACAGTGAGACCCCTACATGCGGACACCTTGAAATGAGGACAATTCGACATAGGGACATTTTTCAATTAAAAGGGCATGCAAAAAGGCCCGATATAAGGACACTGATTCGACATGAGGACATTGCAGGATAAAATTGCCAATAAATTTCACAAAAATTGACTTTTGTTTGGCTTGATTGCGAGAAACATGCATTTTTATCCCTAAGATTTATGTAAGAAAAAAGTAATCCTTGTCATTTCCATCATCCATTCAGCTAATTTAGAAAATTGCCTATTGCATGGAGGGACTTCCTTCTCTCTTTGTGAGTTGAATGTTATTTTTGTAGATGCCAACATTCATTTCAGTGTCTCAAATGTTCTTATTGCGTTGAAAATATAATCACTGAATCAAATTCAAGTGGCAAACAAATTTTTTTCGTGGAATTCTGAAGAACATTTCTTCCATAAAACACCAATTAAAAATTTGATGATGTAAGTCCATAGGAAAACAAGACTTGGCTTAGGGACGATTCAATTTAGGGACACTCTTGGTGCACCAATTACGTCCGCAGCTGGGGGTCTCACTGTAATAATGATGATAATAATAATAATAATATGGACTGACCTCGGGAAAGGGTGCTCAGTCATTTGCTCATTAGACAGCCCGATGTCTTTCCCGACCTGCACGACTTCCTTCTTGTGGAACTCGCCCACGGGCTCAATGATGCGGTCCTCGTGTCGGTACTTTCGCTGAACGTCCACGTTGTTGGAGTGGGACTTGCTCACCCGGGCCGCGTGGGCCGCCAAGTGCCCGCCCATGTCCAGAATGTCCGACCTGAGTGACCCGAGCCCGATGCACGCGTCGTTCGACCCGCCGAACTTCTCAATCAGGAATTCCTCGGCAATGTGGAACAACACGTCGCGGCAAATGACCCGCTTGTCCTCGGGTTCCGTCTGGTCCACCATCCACTTGGTCTCTCGCCGCCGCTCGGCGGGGTTCGCTCGGTTCGGGATCGTCGTCTGGGCACTTTTCAATTAAAGTAATAAGGATCATCATCATCATCATCATTATCACTACAGTGCAGTTGAATAATTCCAAGTCGAATTTGATGGAATAAAAAAAATCAAAGACTCGACATGTTTTAAAGTTTGAGAATTTTGCTTCATTTCGATAGGTTTATCAATGGAAATTATTTTCTGAAGAAATAATTATTACTCTTCATTAATCATAAATATGCTACTACTGTATACCTTTCTGGAAGATGCACGATTCCTCGTGAACAGCATGAATAAAATAAATTTTAATCTTCTCTCATTTTTCTGGAATGCTGTTCAAGGTAGCTGTTCTGAAATTCAGCCCCAATATTCAATGGCAAAAAGACCTTGGAAATTCGATCAAGGGAGGTTTGACCCAAAAATGAAATTTCGGATCAGGGAGGTTTTGAATTGGGTCATTGGACTTGATGAGGTCCAACTACATTTGCGTTTTTCACTTTTTTAAAGTAAGGCAGCTCTTTCCACAAAAGATACACTAAACCCACTTCATATTTTCACGTACCCGAAATGTACATATAGTTGAGATATACAATACTGTACTGACATTTAAGTCCGCAGTAGGACGAAAAATACTGACTGCACGATTTTAAAATTAATTTTCATCACGTCAAATTTTAGGGAAAAAGGAAGAGATCATTCCAGGCATGAATCGTTCAAATAAATTGTTTTTCTTTGTTGTTACTTAAGAAGAATTCACGTTCACGAAGAAACCCTGACGAAAAAATTGTCCTTTCGTGAAATCCAACAAATGGAAAATTTATCTTCAAGTTTTTATGCTTTTTCGAATTTCAGCACTTACCAATAAAACTATAAAAACAGTACTGTTCAAAAGGGGTCCTAGTTACTGATCGACGCGCGAAAATATGACAGCCCTTTGCATAAAATACTTTCATCTTCATGCGTCTATTTAAAATTTGTTTTATAAATGTCGTCGTTGGTCGTGCAAATTGAAGTCAAAATTAATATTTAAAAATGGGAATCATCCAGAAGAGAATTGTATGAATTTAAATTTTTGGGTTGCTTTGCAGTGGAGGGTTAATTTCTTGTTTTGCTTTTTTAAATCTCGGGGTATTCAAGTTCAACCCGAGGTAATCGTAAATGTATTGCCTTTAAAATCCTACGAAATTTGTGAATATTTTTTCGCTGAAAAAAAAAAAAAAAAAAAACAGAATGAAGAACACTGTACCGTACAGTACCTGTAAAATCCTACTAAATTTGTGTATAATTTTTCGCTGGAAAAAAAAACTAAACAGAATGAAGAACACTGTACCATACAGTACTGTACCTGTAAAATCGCGTGAAGGCGTTTTGAATGCTGTAGCCGACCCCGATTTTCTCCAGAACATCTTTCGCCTTCTCAAAGCCGCCCTTTTTCTCGAACCCGGTCTCCACGAGAAGGCAGTACATTTCCTGCGCCCCGATGCACTTCTTGAGGATCATGGCGGCCACGGTGGAGTCGAGACCGCCGCTGCAAAGCATGAGCACCGGTCGTCCGCTGCACTGCTTCCGGATCCGGTCCATGGCCTTCTCCTCGCGCTTGGCAATGTTGAAGGTCGTCTTCAATTTGGCCATCTTGAAAAAGTTGTCGAGCATCTTTTGGCCCTTGGGCGTCACGATGACTTCGGGGTGGAAGTGGAGTCCGTAGAGGTTCTTGGACACGTCGGCGACGCCGATGACGCGTTTGCGCCAGTGAGCGATGGCTTTGAGGCCGACGAGTTTCTCGACAGTGTCGCCGTGCGTCACCAGCGCCAGTTCTTTTGATTTGCATCCCCTTTATTGAAAAATAATTTTTTTCAGACAGGGAATGATAACGTGAGAACCGACCCCGAGATGCGGACGTAATTGGTGCATAAAGAGTTTCCCAAAGTCGAAATGTCCCTAAGTCGAGTCTTGTTTTCCCATAGACTTACATTGTATAATTTTTAATTGGTGTTTCATGGAAGAAATATTCTTCAGAGGCCTGAAATGTATTTGCAATTTTATCACAAAATGTCCCTGCGTCGAGTCAGTGTCCTCATGTTTGGCCGTATTCATTAATTTCTTCTGGGAAAATAAGTGTCCCTATGTCGAATCGTCCGCTGGTCGAGGCGTCCGCATGTGGGGGTCTCACTGTAATTTGCTTCCATTATTAATAAGTCTTGCGCTAACACCTCATGATTACTGTGTTATTACGCTTCGAGTCCACCTACCAAATATTTTAAAGATTGTGGGTTCATGGTTTCCATCAAATTATGTAAAAAAAATAATAACGGAACCGATCCGTTTCAATCGTAGATGCTCGATTATATTTTCAATGTAGGCAAGAACTGGTTCTATCTTCGCGCCAGTTCTTTTGATTTGCATCCCCTTTTTGTTTACAAATAAATTTTTTTTTGTTTCAGACAGGGAATTTTTATATCTGCACTAAATGGCAGTGCAGATTTATTTCTGCAAATGTATCGTTGCAAATAAACAAAATTAACCCTGATGCAAACATCAGGGCGCATCTTGTATACAATTGAGTCTCAAATTTAATGACGCTCCAAGACTCGAAAGGCGAAGTAAATCTGACTAACGCATACTTTTGCGCAGAAGCGAAGGTAAGTACTTGCAGTACTTGATTAATTGCCTACAAGATGCGCCCTGACGCTTCGGAGTCCCTTTTGGTAGAAAAAGGTGCCTTTTCTAGATTCTTCTTCACCCGAATAAGTTGTACAAAAATTAATGAAACTAAAAAATAAAAAATAAATAAATAAAAGAGAACGAACTTGAATAGTTCGAGGCTGTCGTCCAACACGGCGTCGATTACACCCGTCTGTCGCCCACCAGCTGTTCGCACAGACCCGTTGTACGTTTTTATCAGCATTGACATGCCATAGTTGAGCCCTATTTTGTTTCCGGTGGCGACAAGACGAAGGCGGGGAAGAAAAAAAAACCGAGTGGCTCATTAAAATATTCGTCGTTGGACGTGTTTATTTATTTCAATTTTGGGGGCATAATTACCTAGAACGGGGACGCCGAGCGAAAAAATGCCGGGGTCGTACCAAGGAGAGTCGAACGTGTTGATGCTTCCGGCGCCTCCGGAAACCAACAATGCTCTGTAAAAAAAAAGGGGGGGGGAATAAAAAGGCCATTGCTTCTGTGGCTGCAAATAAATTCCCGGGGACCCAGGCAAAGGTTCGAATAATTTATGCATACAATTATATTAGGTATTACGATGTGAGAAAGTCCTCAAAATATTTATTATTTTTGCGATTAAACGCTATCCATCTTTCACATAGCCTGAACTACTGTACGTTAGTCAAGTTTAATCCAGAAGGTTTCCATGAAAGATTTACTTTTTGGCGACAGGCTAAAATATGTTACGAAGAAATAGTTGAGCAGTTTGGGGGGGGGGGGGGGGGGGCAGCAAAACACGTGTCAATCGTCTTCTTTTTACAGGGGGGGGGGGGGGGGGGGGGGGGGGGGGGTGGCGGGGGGGTGTCAGCAAAACACGTGTCAATCGTCTTCTATTTACGCACAAAATTCCACGAAACATATTTTGACATTACAGTACAGTACTTGTAAAACAAAATGAAACAGATGGTTGATTGTTATCATTAAGTGTACTTACAGCGAACTTTTCTTTCAGGGTTAAATTAAATTAGTTTTATGCATCAAGTTCATGTAATCCGATGAAGATCAGTCAAGGGACTTGAAAAGTACTGAGGCAGGGAGGCACAAAGTGTGCGCCAAATCGTTACAATTTTTAGTTAGCTAATTGTGAAAATGAATCCTTGCCTTCCCAGGTTCAGCATCCTGCCAACTCATTTTAAGAAGCAACTTAAGGCCCAGAATATCCACCAAATTACAATTCCATGCGCCTTAATTCTTTTTTTTCTTCTTTGCCCGCAACAAAACTTCTGTACCTCATTTTCTGACTCGATTTCTGGTACTTTCCTGTTATCTCTGTTCCTACTTTCCTGTTATCTCTGTACCTTCCCTCTGACCAATTTAACCTGAGTTATGTTAATCAGAATATATTTGTAACTAACATAACCTGACCTAACCTAACTTTACCTAAACGCCTCCCAAAATCAGTTTCAGCAGAATGCGGAAGAATAAAATTTACAGTTTCTGGTATGTCTTCGTGATAATGAACTCGTCCTAAAGATTTGTCTGGATGGTAGTGCGGTCTAGGAATGTGAGGTACAGAGATAACAGGAAAGTACCCGATTTTTTTTTTCGCTGGACCCGTGAAGTTCGACTTCAAGAGGGGTACAGTATTTATCAATCGGTATAAAATAGGTGTACAGTATTTGTTTTTCGGTCATATTACTTGTAGCCCTTGCTCTTGATGGTGTGGGCCGGTGTTTCGAGGGCGATGACTTGGGATTCGACGTTGCTGGCGCGGCAAGCCCTGTCGAGTTTCTTGGCATACGGCGAGCCGGCGTCGAGAATAGCTACTTTGTCGACCAGCTTGGCCATGGCTTGTGCGGGATAAAAATTCTCCTCACTGCTGAAAATTTCTCAGGGGCACGCGGGGATTAAACATGGTACTCGGTGCCAGCCACGCGTGACCGGGTGCCTTTTCCTCGGGACAAATTCACCCTCTTGGCCAAATATTCATGAGTATTTATTTTATTAGTGTCGTCCCCTTACTCCGCCTCCTTGGGAAACGAAAAAATTATGTAAAAAAAAAAATGTTGGATGGATTGACGTAGTTGCTCCTCTCTCTTTAAAGGTTCTTCTTTCCTTTAATTGTTCATGTGAGGAAGCTGATTTTTCTTTTGTGTTCGACACCTGCATGAGGTTTTCCTCTTCTTTTTTTTTTTTGGTGCATGCTTGGGAAGAAATGACTAGGATTTACGTTCCTCTTGGGCGTATTTTTGCATTTCGAAGCTGACGTTAATGACGCACTACTTTGCTGTGTGTGGGAGACTGTGGTTCAGTACTCAATGTCCCAAAAGATACTCTAGATTTTTGAATTAAATATATTCCATCTTTTCTGACTCGAGGCATTGCGATGACTTAGTGGGGATTTAAAGACTGAATTTAACTTGCTGTTCAGGAGAGCTCGATAGCGGAAGAATTTGTCCTCTGATATGAGGTTTCATAGAATTTTTTTATGTGGAGTCTTGATTAACAATCTTACGAACGTCTTCGTTGACAAACTTTGGGTTTGGGCATCAGCTGCTAAAAGAAAAACTTTAACTTGGGTTGTAAACTTTGGTTAGTTCATGTGTGATTGGGTACAATTGAAAAAAAGCAAATACCTGTGATTATCTGCCCAACGTAATTGATCTTGTTCATGCTTTGATCAAAAGCGTTACACCCTGACATTTTTCACTATACAGGTATGAAGAAGCTTTTAATTAAAAAATACTGATGGTTTTAAAATGTTTCATGTGATAAGCAAGAAAATTGCACCATGTTAAATATTAAGGCGAACAGCCAGCCCAATTTTTAAAGTTGAAAGTTTTTGTGCAGTTCCTTTTCAGCCTATGATCGGAAAGCCTCCCCACAAACGCACACTAAAATTTTCATTTTTTCATAATTTTGAAAAGGTATTTTCTCCGATGCCCAAGAGTGAGAAAACTCTCAAATATTGTAGTTTGAATAAGGTGAGCATTTTCGAATGGCTGTTGTGCTTCAGTGAGAAACTCACTGATCAAGCATGTGGAAACTTGATTCTTGACAATAAAAAAATTTTCATGGAGTTTCAAGGTGTAGATTTTTTTTAATGATTGCGCAATTTCGAAATGTGAATCTAAAACGCCAACGAAAAAGTTTTATTTTATTTTTTTCTTGAGTAAGAATCCGTATGATAATACATTTTATTACCCATTCCCAGTATCAGTACGCATTATTCATTAGCATCTCGTCCACAACAAAACCTGTACAGTATAATGAAAAATTCCTTGCATCGAGGAATCGCATTTCGAAAATGTTTGAATTCAGGAAAAATTCCAAAGCTTGAAATACGTTTAATTTTAAACGAATCAATATTACGTTTTCTTACTGACAGGGAAGAGCAGGAATAATGACCATTAAATTCCTCGTCAGGAAATAATCAGTGAAAGATCATCTATTTTTTTTTCTTGGGTCAGAAGCGTCCTACAGTTGAGTACATACGGTTTATTTGCGTGTCAATCTCGTATGTCGCACATGTCAGCGAACATTTTTAGCAGCACGGCGTTTGTCAACATGACGTTGAAAAGGCGAATTCTCAAGTACAGTACAGTACTTTATCGTGGTGCTCGAAGGAATTTTTTGCGCGATGGTACTGAGTATTTTTGGGCGGTATTCTGCGTTTTGCCTTCATTTTCTTGGTGGTGATTCTTGGATCCTGAATCTTCCGTCGGAGGTCAATTTTTGTGGTCAGCTTCGAGGTGAGAAAGTCCTTCAAAGACTGCTATTTTTTTGCGGTTTCAGCTCAGCACACAGCCGACTGTTTTTTTTTTTAAATGCTTTAGAAAAATATAAATAAACTTGTTTGCGGTATTCATTCCTGGGCTCACTTGCATTTGCGTTTCCAAAAATTTGAGAGTGTACTTGCATTCTTGTGGATCGTAATTGAATCATATTTCTTGGTTCTCCCGGTTAATGGCGTTCGAATTATAAATGGTCTCCTCAGTTGGTCGCCCATGAGTCGATGATCTTTCTCTGATTATTTCCTGACGAGGAATTTAATGGTAATTATTCCTGCTCTTCCGTGTCAGCAAGAAAACGTAATATTAATTCGTTTAAAATTAAACATATTTCAAGCTTTGGAATTTTTCCTGAATACGAACATTTTCGAAATGCAATTCCTCGATGCAAGGAATTTTTCATTATATTGTACAAGTTTTGTTGTGGACGAGATGCTAATGAATAATACGTATTGATACTGGGAATGGGGAGTAAAATGTATTAGAATACGTTGTACTATAATGCAAAATGCAGTTTTTATTACCGTACAGTATTAATAACGGATTATATTAATTTTAATGCATCTTTCAGGTTTCGATTGCTTTGTTGTGACGAGGTTTTACTGTATTATTTGTGCTGCTGCTAGGAAATGGTTCTTGAAATGTGTTATTTGTGCAAATCGACGCATGGAATATTTTGCGTAGCATTCGCTTTGTCAGGGGGTCCGAAGAAATGAGAAAAAATTAAAATTCTGCTGTCACTGTATTGTACCGAATAATTTTTATCGTAACAATTATTTCACGTTCATTTTTTGACGACGGTTCGACTGTACAGTACAGTATTACTTGTGTCGCTTTATGGGAAGGGGTTTTAAAATGGGTTAGTTTCGCTAATCGACGCTTAAAATATTTTTCATTGCATACAAGTGGTCCACGGATCCCGAAAAAAGGCGAAGAAAAATTAAAATTATGTTTCTGCTATAATGTAACGAATTATTTTCATAAAAACTAAGACGAAATTGAGGAACCTTTATTGGCTAGGTTCGACTGCACTGTTTCATTCGTGTTGCTTCAGGGAAACGATTTTCTAAATGGTTCAGTTGTGCCAATCGACGCTCAGAATACAGTCACACCTCCGTTGGTCGCATTTTAAGAGACCAGGAAAAAAATTGAGATTTGCAGGAAATTTCAATTTTCGATATTCTGGGCATTAAATGGCTTCTTAAATGACTTGACATGATGCTGAACTTGGAGGTAGGGGTTCATTTTTTTTTATTTAGTCTTTCACTTCGTTTCAAAAAACAATCAATTTACATTTATATTGCTTTTCACTCTCCTGTGTCAATAAAATACTGTAATAGCCGAAAGGCTCGCAAAAATTCGAGTTACGAAGGTTTTTGAGGAAACCCCTCTAAGCTGGGTGGCTGGAATAACGTCGTCAGTCCCAACCTCGTCAGCCTGGAATAATCTCGTCGCAAAATATCGTCGTCAGGAATAACCTGGTCTTCATGTATTACCCGAGATGTTGGGATTTGAGGCCTTTTTTGCTGTAGGAGGTTGGTCCAGTTGTGAAGTGTGGGAAGAATTTTTTTTACGAGTTTGTTCCAGGATAGACTTGACGACAGTAATCCGGTGTAGGAATTACGACGTTTATTCCACCATCCCGCTTATAAGAGTTGGGTAGGTTTTCAATAAATTTGTTTTGAAAGGGATTTCAGACGGGTATTTGAAATGCATCGATTTTGGGAGTTTCGAGTTATCGAGGTTCAACCTCGTACTTCGCCTAACACTCAGTTGGTTCAGGGACCTCCCAAATGAAAAAAAAAAAAAACAAGATAGGAGTGAAAAAAATGTAAAAATCATATTTGTTTCTCTTTCTCTCTCTCTTTTTTTTTAAATTTTTTTATCAATTTGTTTCGATGGGATTTCCGATTGGTATTTGAAAAGCATCGATTTTGGGAGGTTCGAGTTATCGAGGTTCAATCTCGTACATACTTCGCGTAACACTCAGTTGGTTCAGGGACCTCCCGAAAAACAAGAAAGGAGTGAAAAAAATGTGAAAATTATATTTGTTTCTCTTTCTCTCTCTTTTTTATTATTATTTTTTAAATAGGCTATGTGTGCCGCAGATCTTCTCGCAAGTGCTGCACGACTTCCAGATCCCGCAAATCAACGCCGTCATCGACGAGATGCACATCTACTGCTCTCGCTGCAACCCGGCGCAACTCGCGGAGCTCAAGGCGTCCGGCACCATTCCGCCGGGCGCCCCGCTTTGCGGCCTCATGACGAAAACCGACGCGGAGCGCCTCTGCGCCGCCCTCCTCCGCGCCGCGCCGCCGCGGTTCAAGCCCCGTCCCGGCACGGAACGAGACCGCGGCGTCCGCGTCGTCCACGCCTGCTTCGGCAAGGCCCGCGGCGTCCTGTACCCGGCATTGTACGCTGCTCCGGACGCCGCGTGCGTCGAGTGCCTCGACTGCGGCGGCGCCATGAGCCCGCGCCACTTTGTGACCCACGCCCACGCGGGCCGAGAAACGCAGACGGTGCACTGGGGCTTCGATTCGGCGCGTTGGCGAGAGTATTTGGCTCTGGCGCCGGACCAGGTGGCGGATGCGAGGATGCAGGCTGTGTTGGACGACGTCAAGGCCAAGTTTGCGCACGCGGAGCCCGCGCAGTCAACGGTGGTCGTCGGTGGTGGGGGCGCCGGCGCGGGAGCCCCGTCCGCCTCCATCGTCGTCGTCGGCGGCGGCGGCGGCGGTGGCTTCCACAGCAAAAGGAAACACGTGAGTTCTTGTTTTTTCTTTTCTTTTTCGTATACAGTAATTCCCACGTAATTCACTTTGCGCGTTGTTGCGGACGACGACGCCCTTTGATAACGCGATTGTGCTGCCGAAAATTCGCGAATGATTCACATCCGTTTTTGCAAATGACTCGTACACCAAGATATCATTTTTTGCAGAGAACCGGAATATTCATTATGCATCGTCTGGAGAAAATGCCGCTTTTTGCTGTCCATTTATACATTTCTCATGTCCCTTTCGAGGATGAGTTTATTTTTAGAATTGTACAACTGCGTATTACTCGATTGGGAATTATGTGGGGTATGGAGAAAATTCCGTTTTTTGCTTATTCACTCCACATGCCCCGCGTGTCTGTAAAAAAAAAAAACTGAAATTGCGCATAGAACCCCAACAGAAAATTGTTTCTGGGTTCAGGAGGAAATGCCGGTGATTGGAAATTCGAGAATGTCGGTAATACAGTAATATTAAATTTTCGTCTCTTGGTGAAATATTTCAATAATGATGTGACTGAAAAAATTCATCGTTCGGAAAACGTGGTTTTTTTTCATAACACTTGAACGCGAGTTTCAGGAACTGAAGTACAGTTATGTAAAAAGAACATATTCTTTTAACATGTTTAATACTGTACTCGAACATGGTTAATATTCGAATGATATTAATATTCGAATGATTTTAATATTCGAATGATGTAATAAAAAAACATGTTTTTTTTCGAAGGCGCAACTTCATTTGTAAGTGCTTGAATTGTTATTTTTCTTGGCAAATTTCTACTTGGAAGAGCTTACGTGAAAATGTCGCGCGAAATCGTGAAAGCATCCTTTTCTTATTATTATTTTTCTTACCCCTCGACTTTCGTTGTTGTTGGAAAATGTGTTCCACTCCTTTTTCTCTCAAAGCGGCTGCGGAGCCCCGTGAGGCCTCAAGGGCTCCACGGAGCACTGATTGTAAAATCTGTGCACAGGGAGACGTGTGGGTTTCATTATCAATCATCGCTTTTCCTCGCAAGGAAACCGATAACAATTGATATTCTTTGTCCTCTTCGACACGAGAACCGTGCCGCTGAATGTATTATCGGTGTAACACGCGTTGGGTTCCCTGCGGTGCGTCGACTTTTTCTCTCTGTCGGGGCCCCGGGTTGCCTTTTATCGTCGCGTCAGTCAATTGGGTCGGAGTGTTCCCAGCGACCTTTCTTCCCCCCCCCCCTTTCTCGGGTTCTTTTGTTTATTTGGTGGGTTTTGGTCGGAGGCGAAATGTGTGGACGAGAATGAATGGGAGCGATTTTGAAAGTGTCGGATGTGGGTACGACTCGCTGGCGGCGATTATTTATCGTGTTTCTCGTCGATGAAACACCTTCTTTTGTTTTCCCTTTTTGACTTTCTGAATTTTTCGTTGTGGCGAATGAGACGTGTCTAATTTCAAATTCAATTCAAAATGTCAGAGTTTTTTTAAATTTTATTTCTCTTGTGTTGGTCGGGAGCAATCTTCCGTTTTACTTGCGAATCTAAGGTTTCACCTAAAAAATAACGCCATTGAAAATAAGACCAAGCTCATCAGTCACTTTTTGTGCAAGATCTGGGTCTTATATCATAGTGAATATGCTATTCAATTTACCAAGGGTTAATATTCGAATGATGTCAATTTTAATGGCCAGGTTTATTTCAAAGGATTTCATCGATTAATAGCCATTATTCAATTAAAGTTATTAAACTAAGAATCGAAGATCTCATTAAGCATATGACGTATTAACGAATAAATCCTGAAAATTCGAGTCGGTTTTTGAGCAAAAAGGGCTTTTTTATATTTGAGTACATGAGATATTTAATCCTCTCCAAGAAAATGGACAAAAGTTTTCATGCTGGATCCGGATGAAACCGACAAAATTTCGTCGCTTATGATTAAATCGGGAATCGATTTATTTTAATTAGAGCGCTGTGAATTATCTAGACGAATTCGTGGACAATTTCCAAGTGATTTAAAGGATCATTAGAAAAATTACCTGAATTTGGCAGCGATGAATGTCCAAACGATGGGGGAACTTTTTCCAAATGTCACGCTTCAGAGAAATTATTTCAATCGCTTTTCGAGGAAAATACTCATATTTGTGGAATATGATGAGAAGGTAAGTCTCTGCTCTTGCTAAAAATGAACAAATGAAGCCTTTCCCGGGAAAAATAATTTTATTGCATGATCAAATGTCCTCCGTACAATACACTGTAGTCTATTCGCCGTTCAAAATTCTTCCTTGAATATAAATCTTATTTTTTTCGGTTATTGAAACCGTTCGTTGGAATCGGCGCAGTCAACGATGACACGGCCGGGGAATAATTGCGGAGATGAAAAAAAAAATTACTGAAAATTTTATATTTACGATCAGTTTACGAAACGGGCATTTTCACGTGCGTTAATGACAGTCAAGTCCATCGTCGTGGAACCTGTATATTTTTCCCGTTCCCTGTCCGATTTCGATGCACTAATGAACCTGGAAGGTAATTTGTGCATTATTAGCCGCGTATAACTGATTCCCGTTCGTTGATGACGACGACCCGCAACGTAAATGGCACAAGGAAACGTATGTACGATCGTGTGATTGATTGCAAAACGGCTTGTCTTGGGACTAATGACGTTTTAAAATCACATGCGTGAGCATCGACGGATTTTTGCTCGATTGAGGAGCGTCTCTGATTTTTTTTTCACTATGACGTACCGTATGGAAGAAGTTTTATCTTGTGAACGGTATACTGATGAGTTCGCACTACATTATTATTATTTTTCGCGACAAAATCACTCCGAAAACGTTGCATTTTCATTCCATTTTGTCCATGTGAGAAAAACCAAATTTTTCAGGCATGCAACACGCCTGCAAAAGTACGTAATTCGACGTTTCAAGATTTCCTCGTAGCATCTGTTGAGGAGAAAGCGAGAAAGGAAACCGATGAAGGTTTCCTTCTCAATCAAACCTAAAAATAATTTGATTTTAAGAGTCAGTCTGTCCTGAACTCACTTGAAAAATTATCCCTTTTCTTTTTATTCCTTTTGATTTGTGTGCACAAATCTGCGTTACTCCTGTGAGTTAATCAAATCTGTTTTGTGCATTGTTTGTGATTATTCTTTGTATTCAACTTTGCTGAAGCTCATAATATAAATGATTGAAAAACTAGGAACATAAATTAAAGGAAACACCTTGAATATGCCTTCAAAAGGCTGATTGCCTGCATTTTTATTTATATTCTTTTGTGATCCTTGATCACAGCAACTGACACTGGTCACAACCTCAGAATGGTACGCATACCATCTTACCATTGGCCAAAAAAGCCCAGCTGCAGTACATGCACAGTACTGTATTCTATTTTTGTTGCCACAAGTCTAGTTCAGTGAGAAAAAATAAATAAGGATGAAGAAAATCAACAGAAAAAAGCCCAAAGAGGAAAAAGAAAATTTTCTTGACACCTTTTGAAGAAAAACTGAAAAGATATAACTGCGCGTAGAATTGAGGTGTCAGATGTTGAAATGGAAACCAGTGATGGGGTATGAAAAACGCTTTTATCTTGAAATAATTTCTGTTCTAAAACACTGGCCAGCCGAAGTCGGCAAGGCGCCATGAATTTTAGGAAGAAGCAAAAGAAAAATTCAATCGCTATGGAACCAAGCATTTTTGTCGTGAGAACGATTAACATTTAATTGCACTAAATTGTAAATGGTAATATTCTGGACCTAACATTGGTTCTTAATTGAGTTGACAGGATGCTGAGCTTGGAGGCAGGGGTTCATTTGCCCAATTTATTCTGTCATACCCTTTCAAAACACATCAAATTCAGTTTTTTTTTTAATAGCTTTTTCTTCCCTGTGTCAAGAAAATAATTAGCAAGAAGCACCAGAAAATTCGACTCGGAGGGATTTCAGAGGAAAAGCCTTTGAGTTAGGGAGGTTTTTAATGAATTGTCCCTAAGGGAATTCAGACGGGTTCTTGAAAAAATATTTTCAAATTAGGGAGGTACGACTTATCGAGGTTCAAATGCAGTCCATAACAAGTACTGTGCAGTCCATAACAGTACTGTATCCCAATTTCGTTGTCACAAGTCGAGTCAAGTGAGTGTAAAAATGGAAAGAAATTTAAAACAAAAAACTGAAGATGAAGGAAATCAAAGGAAGGAAGGAAGAAAGCCCAGGGGGTGATTATACCTGATGGCCGTGTTCCCAAGCGCATCATGGAAAAATGCCGGCCGATGGCGTGTCCCCCGTGATGGATGTGGCCGATAACTGCCGGGGCTCCCCAGGGAAAACTCTGTGTCGTAAATCACGCGTTGTTGGGTCATAAAAATCGACAAGCGGCGCTCTTTTTTTTCTTTTTTTTTTTTTACAATTTTTTGGGTGTTTTTTTTCCCTCCTCATTTTTGGGCGCCCCAGCAGTCATTTCATGCCCGCTGTGATTCCACCCAATAGTCACAACAGAAATCCTCTTCTTCTCTCTCTCTCGCCCTGATCCCAGGTTGTTATGTTTTATTTATTATTTTTATAGCCTTGTCTTTCCGTCATATTATAGAGCGGCGCAGGTTGTAAGTGGTGTAGGAGGATGCCACCTTTTGCCCTAATTTGTTCTGATTTTCTAGGGCTTTGTTGTACTGCTGTACTCCGTTTGGATTTTTTTTTTTTTTTCAGCTGGAACCGAACTTTTTGTAAATTTATTTGCAGCGCTGTTCAACGTTGATAACTCGAACCTCTTGAAGTCGAATGTCCCGGTCTGGATTTTCTTGGAAAAAGGGCGTTAAAAATCACCATAACTCAAAATTCCCCCCAAACCCCCTACGAGTCGGATTTTTCTGGAGACCTTTTGGCTATTATTTTATTGACGCAGGGAAGAGGAAAGCAATAAAAAAAGTAACATGATGTGCTTTGAAAGAAATTGAAAGATCAAGTGTGCAAATTAGCCGTTGCCTCAAAGTTCAGCAAACAGTACTGCCAACTCATTTTAGAAGCAATTTAAGGCTATGAATATCTACAATTGCGATTTTCTGCAAATTTTCTTTCTAACCCACCCTCCCCCCAGGAAACGTTCTTTCCGAACCTCGAAACGTCCCTAACTCAATTTTTATACTTTTTTTGCTGGTCCCTCGATGTTCGCCTTGGACTTGTTCGACTGTATCTGGTGTGTGCTTTTATCCCCGATTTTTTTCCCTTATATTCGTCAGAAATTCGGTGTACATGCGGTTGAACATGAAGCGAGATAGATTCAAAAACTTATGTACACCGGAAATGTCTGCCAGACTCGCGCACCGGAGACGATCCGAAAAAAAAAGAAACGCAAGGAGCTTTAGATCTGCTTTTTTTCTTTTCAATTTTCGTTATCATTTCTTTAATATTTTTCAGGGAATAAAAAAATAAATATAAAGTCAAACCTGTTTCCTTTTACAGTATTTCTCGGCGATGCGGCGGAAGATTCTAAAAAAGATTTATGGCGCCGTCGGGGCGTTCATAAATCCGGGCGGCGGATCGCGTGTGATTACGCGCTGATTGTAGCCCCCGCGACGGCGACGACGACCGTGAGGTCTGGGCCAGCTTGCAAGACTGAGGATCTTGAAAAGTTTTTTTTTTTCTTTGCTGCTCATCATCATCGTCGTCGTCGTATTTTCATTTTTTTTAAATAGTTTTTCTTCGTTTTATTTATTTTTTTCGTTCAGAAATGCTGGGAATTTTGAATTCAAACTGTGGAATTGCAATCGCTTTGTCATTTTTCGGGGTGATTTTTGCGAGACTTCTTTTTTTTTTAAGTTTAAAAATTTCGGAGTGTCGATTATTTTAGGACGAAGTGACGAAGTGGACCTTTTAATACTGGTATAATGGATGTAATCTTAAATTGAAACCGCTCTTCCAGATTTCGAGTATACTGTGAAGTATATATATTTTTTTGAATGCTCTGAGAGATGCTTGTTTTAATCATGTTTTTGCTGAAATTTAGATTTACAGAGTGTCCAATTTTTCTGTAAGGCGTGTAAGGCCTTCGGTTTTTAAGCTAGCTAATTTTCGTGAACTCTTTGGTGCTTGAGCTGGTTAATATTTTTAGCTAGATTGTATGTAAGTGTAGCGGATGAACATCTTCAATATATTGAATAAATTCTTCAACTCTTCAAATACAAATTTAAATCACTTTGCCAGGCCTCACATTTTGTTGTCATTGCTGTTCTGTGTATGTTGAGAGTTTATTGTTGTTTGGTTATTTTGTTGCTCTGTAAGAAGCTTCTTTTCATGTTTTTTCTTACAGTGCAGGCTTACAAACCTAGTAAAACATAGCAAGTTTAGTTTATTTTGGCATACCCTAATTAAAAATGGCAGCATTGGCTTTCTCTCTGTCTTTCTGTATGTATGTCTGTCTATTTCTCTGTCTCACTCTCTCTTTCTATATTTCTGTCTCTCTCATCCTGTCTGTCCATTTGTCACTCCACTGTCCATGTGTCTGACTGTCTATCTCTTTCTGTGTATGTCTGTCTCTCCCTATCTCTCTATGTGTTTCTGTCTCTCTTTGTCTGAGTTCTCTATCTCTCTCCGTGTCAACCTGTCTCTGTGTCTCTCTCTCTCTGTCTGTCTGTTTCTCTCTCTCTCCGCCTGTCTGTCTCTCCCCGTCTATCTGTCTGGTTTTTTTTTTTCAAAGAAAAAGAAATCCTCGGGTGCAGTCCTAATGACGAGGGAATTATTTCCGCGAAACGAACTTGAACGCTAATCGGAGATACCTGCGGGTCTGGAAGGAAATTGTGTGCAGTTCCGGTTGCGGGTGACTGGGTCACTGAAGCGGAAAACCCCGTGGAGAACAATGGGTTGTAAGACGGGTCTGGGTGTGGAGCGAGGAAGCGGAAAACCGCTGACCTGGAATGAATCCGGCGCCTCTGCATGTGCACGAGTGGCCAATAATACGCATGTTTTTTTTCTTCTTCTTCTTTGTCTTCCTCCTGTCTTGTCAAGTTCTTGAGGAAACCAAAAAATAAAACAAAAAAAGGAATGAATGAAAGGAATAGGACAGAAATGATAGGAGCGAGATACTTTGACGGAGGAAAAGTATTGGAAGGGAAAGTGCAGTGTAGCGTAAAAAGCAGAAGAAGGTTTCTCGAGGCATGCTTCACCTTTTGGTAAGGTACAGTACTGTACTGTACTGTACCTTATATAGAGAATGGGCTTTTCTGAAAATTTGTGATAATCCATACGTCAGACCCACTTGAACGCCACTCCCTCATGTCAAGTTCCACCTACTTTTAGAGTTTTGTTCAATCGTTGTTGGTAACGCAAACAACTGATGGTAACTCTGAGATGTGATAAGTTGAGAGTTTGCGCTTGACGGCTTGGCGTACCAAAATAAATTTATTATTCGGGGCAGGCATTATTGAAATTTTCAGTGAAATACTTGAGGTGACTCACAGGATCCTGGACTGTGGCATACTTCTAACAATTTTTCATTTCAAGCGACCAGCAAAAAAAAATGATTTAGGACAACAAGCATTTATTTTGTGGGAAACTTGGATGACTTGCAGGGAATTGTAAATGATGATATTCTGGGCCTTGAATTGCTTCTTAAATGAGGTGACAGGATGCCGAAATTGGAGGCAAGGGTTCATTTATTTAATTAGTCTTTCACTTCCTTTCAAAGTACATCAATTTACATTTTTATTGCTTTTCTCCTCCTGTGTCAATGAAATAATAGCCAGAATGTAAAAGAAAATTGAGTTACGTAGGTGTCAGAGGAAAAGCCTTCAAGTTAGGGAGGGTTTTAATGAATGTTTACTTCGGGAATTCAGCTGGGGACTTGAAAAATTCCCCTTGGGGAGGTTCTAGTTACTGAGGTTCAAATGTATTTTTTTAAATCGTGTAATGTCCATAAAGTTTTGCGAAATTTATTTATACGCCAATTGGATTTCAGTGCGTAATTCAAAGAGTTAACAATTTTTTTTTGCTGGGAAAAAAATTACCGAGTCGACCAGATGGTTCCAGGACTGAGAAACCCGTCATCATTTTCGATCTTGGGTTTCATGCGCCGAGTCGAGACGCCATGGAAGGGAACCATTGCTTGCTTGGTTGCTCACTCGTTCTCTTATCCCTGTCTACTCCGTTCTCACTTCAATTCTCCGTCCTTCTCATCATCATCATCCTGCTTCTTTCCCTTACCATGTACGTCTGCATCATGTTCTGCTGGTAAAATTGTTTTTTTCTTAAATACTTTTCTATTCTTATTCTTACGAGAGAGAGAGAGAGAGAGGATCGTGTTCCGCCCGACTGCGTGAACACTGTCTGCCTGGCGCCCCGTTACAAAAAGCGCGTGCCTGAGCGACTAACAAAAACCCGCCGTTCGCTCGCAGCCGAGGAGAAAATTGACATCGATTGGCAGGTTTTTTATTTTTCATTTTTGCTCTTTTCTTTCCTTTTCAGTTCTGTGGTTTCGTGTCGATTTCGGCTGAGCGTTGATAGAAATCTTACGGGAGAGAAGCGAATTTCTTTCTGTATTATTCCGCTCACAATTTCAGTACAGTATTTTGATTCCTCATTTCTCCGCGCAATCATATCTTTTTCAATTCTTCCATGAAAGCGTGTCGAAGTAAAGATAGCATTTCTCGAATCGTTGCGAGAAATTGTTCTGCTCATTTTAAGGAGTATAGCTTTTTCTGAAATAAGTACAAGAAATTTTTCTGCTCATCAAAAAAAAAAAAAGATATACGTTTTCTCAACTCATTACAAAAAAATTGCCCTGGCCATTCCCTGTCAAAAGTATTTTTCATAGATTTTCTGATGGGCCAATTTCGTCACTTCAGATGATGAAAAGCGGTGAAATTGACCGTGAATCCATCAGCCGTTGTCATTTTTCATCCAAGCGAAATTTCCGGATAGATGGTACAGTACTTCAGAAAAATATCGGGTATTTTCAGAAATAAATGCAGTATATCAAGTTCGGAAATGAGGAACTGGAAAGGGTTTCTCAACTGCACAGGAATACTTGAATGCAAGTGATATCGATGACTCGGAAGTCGTGCATTCAAAATTTGTAGTCTGTGGGATTTTTCAATTCTTATGCTACTGTAATTGTAAATTTTGTTGAGAAGTCTACGGATCGAGATGAGCAAGAAATGATCTTCCAAGTGGGGAAGCATTTTTTTCTTCGAAAAATCATCAAAGCAGCAAATATTTTGAGAAGCATGTTGACAATTTTTGTCCTTAATTTTACCCCCCTTAATTTTTTCGAGGGGATTTCTTGGACGTTTGAGATTATTTCTTACAAATTAATACCACGAATTCTTGAAAGCTTTTTCTTTTAGTAGTTACATGCAATCATGTGAATCGGACTTTAGTCTCTTGTGGTAAAGATTTTTGACATTGTGAAAAGCAGACCCGTATTAAAAACGGAATGTGTCAACGAAATTTTCCAAAATTGAGCGCGCAAAAATCAGATATCAGGGCGCCAATCGTGCGTCCCCTTCAGAATATTCTAGGATTCTCTGGAGTATCTCTTTTTTAAGGAAAAGAATTGAAAGCAGTTTTTTGTTTCAAATTCTGGAAAGTATACGTGTATTTTTTTCGTGTCAACTTTGAAAAAGGCAGTCCCCGAAAGCGAGTCGGAAACGCGCGTCTTCCGCGTCGACGTTGCCTTTCCCGTAGTAATCGTCATCGTCGTCATCCGTGGCTTCGTTATCGTCACCTCCATCATCATCGTCGGGCTCGTCGTTGTCTGACGAACGATCGTTGTCACTTTCGTCGGCATTGAGTCGGAGAGACAGGGTAGGGATGATGGTGGCGGCGGCGGCGGTGGTGGCGGTTGTGACGAGCGGGACCCTGAGAGGGTTGTCAAAGTCCAGCTCGGGGCCGATGAACTCGTCGACGGCGGAGTCGTAGCCGTCGTCGACGGGATTGTCAATGAGCGACAGCATGTCGAGAACGTCGTCGCGACGCGTTGGCGGCGTCAGGGACGCCACGGCGGCGGCCAAGAACTCGTCGCTGAGCCCGCAACGAATGGCGAGCTGTTGGCGCAGATTCTGCCAACTTTCTGTCGCTGTACGTCAATGACATGCAGTTGGAATTAACGCTTCTGGGAAAATACAGTTCGTCCAAAAGATGCGAATTTCTTGTTTTGATTTAATTCAATTTTTATGATATCTGCAAAATTTGAATCCTATCATTCACTGAGATTTAACTTCAGCATGAAAAAAAAAACGCAAAAATAACGAAACTGATTTTTTAATCCTCTCAATTATTTCTTCAGCAAATTTACCAAGAACTTGGCCCTAAAATTTAATAGAATATTTTCATCTTTGAAAAAACAGGAAAAAGTTCATTTTCCCATTTGGCAGGTCTTTTCATTGTTTATATTTATGTATATAATTTTTTTGAAACTTCAATTTTAGTTACTCTGTACTGTGTGCATGACGAAAGAGGAGCAAATTGATTAACAGAATCCTTGAAACAGAAACCACAAAAACCCAAGTAACAAAACAGCAAATGTACCGAGGAATCACTGCACAAAATCGCCTAGTATCAGAACACACCGAGTGCACGAAAGAGCGAGTGCCAAAAAAAAAAAACACGCGAACAAAATATAAAAAGCAGGTTTAAAATGCTCTAAATCGAAATTTGAAATCCCCTTTTCAACACAAATTTTCTGTTCAATCCTTTTTTTGTGGCAATTCCTGCTTAAAGTTGAACTATCACGAGAATTAATTCTGCATAATCCCTCTTCGTACACCAGAATCGAATGATTTTTTTGGTTTTGAATATCTACTTTATTTTTTAAATGTTGACGCACAGTTTTGACCCATTTTTATGGCACTATTCCTGGATTTATGAACGCTCTGGTTGGCAGAGTAGGAACCCCACAAACGTGGCCCTGGTTTTCCTAGAGCTGATATAATGCATCTCCATTCACCGGGATAAAATTATTATTTTGGCTTATTTATATTTCATTCGATATTATTTATTTTTTTACGCACGTTTTGTCTGATTTCTTGCCATTGCTTCTGGATTCAGAAACACTCTGGTCGGCAGAGTAGAACCCAGTGCCCCGACAGAACAGCACAGGATCCTCACAAACATGCGTCCGGCTTCTTGCAGAGTTGCCAACAGGTTCTGCACGACCACGAGACACGCATAGGCGATGAACACCATGCAAGGCATTGCTTCGGCTGCTAGTTTCGCACTGCTGCCAAACGCTGTCTTGAACGTGTCTTTTATGCTCCAGACTGTCGCCAACTCTGGAACGCGTTTCTTGGCCCAGGTGGCCATTGAACATTTATTCGATCAAATGTGCAACAACAAAAACAGCACCAAAATAGAGGCAAAAATCACGAGGAAATGTAAGAGTGGAAAGCACTGCGTTTTTCTTTTATCTGCACACGAGATGCGAAGACGAAGTTTATGAAGGTTATCTTTTTTTTTTATGGGTTCTTCTTGCCTCGTTGCAAAATTTTACTGAAGGAGATGGAAAGTGGAAAAATTCGGCGAGGAATATCAATTTCGGAGTGGACGGAATTTAATTTCGTTGGATGCTTGCGTTTTTTGTTCTGTGTTTCATGAGCCTTATTTTTTATTTTCCTTGCGAGGTTTTTTTTATGGGCATTCATCTGCCCTTTTCTGAGCATCCCGTTGGCATTTGGATTTTTCCACGCAATCCGTGGATTTCTAGTGCTGTAACACTGATGAGAGTTTAAGACACTTTTAATAAGTTTCGAGAATATCCTTTTGTAACGAAAGAAATAAAAGAGGAAACAAAATTTTTGGGAAGATTGCTCTGATCGCTAAAATATGTAGGAACACTCTCACGAAAGAAAACATGTTTTTTTTGTGCAACCGTATTTACTCAAGTTCTACCCGACACTTTTTACTAACAAGGGGAGGGTAGCCCAGCCACATCTGGGCAAGTGACACCACACAAAAAGATTTTGTCAATTTTTTGGAAGGATAACTTTTTTGAATGAATGGCAGGAAGTTTAGCACTCCAGTCAAGCTTTCTTTAATCTTTTTGAAGCAATCTTGACATGCATATCCCACAGGAACTGTGTCACCTTGAATCATAGGTTTAAAAAAAGAATGTTTGAAATATTGAAACTGCTAAATAAATTTTTTCATGCACCAAACATTTGAAATTTTGACATGACATGACTACTACTCATGGATACTACTCATGCTGAAGTGTACCCATCTGCAAATTTTGTAAATTTTGGCCGTGCCTGTCATACTTTTTGTGAAGCTTGACACGTTCAGTGAAGTTTGAAGAAATTTTTTATAGACTCCGGAATTAGTAAGAATATACTGTACATGTACAGCATATAAATGCTCAAATCAAATGGGCAGATGAAAATGTGAAGCAACAAAGGAAGCCGAATTAAAATAAAATTGCATCTTTAGTCTAAATTTAAATTTATAAATTTGTTTCATAATTGAATTAATGTTTGTCACACGGATGTCATTTTTTCAACATTTTCCTCTAAAAATTCAAGATGAGGGCGCATGGTATTCAAGTGAATACGGGATTTGTCCTTCGAAACGATTATAAACTGTATTTGTTCATAAAGAAAAAAAAAAGAAAGAAAAAAAACCTCCGTGTGTGGGATTTATATAATCTGATTCCCCGAAAACCGTTGCTTTTTCCGACCAAATTTTAAACTCGAGCTTTCGGGAAAATCTCTTCAAATTTATTCGTACTCCGGGTTTTGAGGTTCATGGAAGGTTTTCCAGCTCAACTTGTGGACGCCCTTTACACGGGCTGCAGGGGAACCGAATCGAGTTCCTACGGATATAACCTTAGGCCATTTTTTGGGGCCCGTGAAATGAATGGTTACGAAACGGGTTCCGCGAGCCAGAAAACCGTACCCACCCAACTGAGCGCTAGGAAAAACTAACACCCACCCAACTGAGGGTATCCCTCTAGAGACATTTTAGAATTACTTATTCTGTTCAGAAACGAGATTTCTTTCGAGCTCGACGAATTGCATTATTTCATTCCCTAAGCTTTCATAAATTTCAGAACGATTTCCCTCACGTTGCTGCAAGAAGAATGCCGCAAAAATTAAAAAAAAAATTTTCGCCAAGTATTCTCAAACTGCGTTTAAAAAAAATGATTGTCAGCGTTGCCAATGCGAGAGAAAAATAGCTGCATATTATTTCTAGTGCAGTATCAACTTTGCGTTCGTGTAAGTGACTGACGATCGAATGGAAAAATGTCAGGTCAATGAGGTGGGTGCTCGGTTGAGCGGCGCTCAGTTGTCCCGATGCTCAGTTGGGTGACGCCTAGTTGAGCTCGGCGTTCATTTGACCTAGCATAAAAGGAAATGAACCCCTCGAGGGTGAGGCGGATAAAACTGCCGACTGTGTAAAAGAGAGATAGAGAAAAAAATGAGCCAAATTCCTGCCATGCCGCGATACATTGGAGCCGACGGCGTTGCCTGTACAAGATTTATTCATCCACGGGGATTCATTTGATCGCATTACGCCCGTGTGTTGTTGTGAAACATTCTGGAGGGTTTTTTGGGTCCGAGGGGTATTTAATAAGTTTACGGATTTTTCCGAGAAGTATTTGACTCAAGTTGGAAGCGAGGAACACCGTACCTTTTTTACTCGAGTATCTCAAGATATTTTTTTAAACCAAAAATTGCGAGGCAAAATTGGGTTTCGCGTCAATTCCGGGTAAAAAATTGTCCGCGGAATTCTGGCATGCGTCTTACGCAACTCCCTTTGAATTAAATTTCGAATAAACTTATTCGAGAAAATAAGAGGAGATTTTCAAATTTAAGCTCAAATACTGTACAAGTATTATTCAAGCGTTCTATCATCAGCTCAGAAGCATGTTTGGTTTTCGAGAATTTTAAATTTAAATAAATGTATCACCCTAATTTTAAAAACGCTTTCAAAGATAAATTTCATAAATTACTGTATTACCTGTACAGCCATTCATTCTATGACAGTTGAAAATACCTCGTGTACCAAAAATGAGCAAAAATATTTAAATAATTATTTTATTTGAATCTGAAATCATATTTTTTGTAAAGTAAGAATATATACCATTTTGACGATGAAAAACGTAGATGCGTGATTTTCTTGAAGTTGCGTTATTCTCCAAACTATCTTTGAACATTTTGAAGTGTGCGTTTAACTCAAGGGCGTGTACGGTATTACTCAACTAAATACAGTATTTCGTACAACTTCATTTTTCTTGTTCGTCGATACCAATCCTGCTGATTTGCGTGTTCCAAAACTTCTGATCTTAAAAGTAAAATAAATAAAAAAACAGCCTCGGCGTAATTTGCATTTCTGGCTACTTGAAATGCGTAAAATATTCTGAATCGTGAAGGACAGACCAGCCATTAAATCGAGTCGGAAACACTGAACGCAAACAACACACACAAAAAAAAGGAAAACACCGGCGGGTTTGTTAATTCTTCGCGATAACCGTCTTAAAATACAGGAGCGACCCGGGAAAGTCATTCTTGTTGAATATTTTAATAAACCGAGGCATCGTTAAGAATATTCCGGTCGAAAGGTAAAAATAAAATGATGCACCACGTCCCAACACAGCAAGGATGATGTTTTGAAATAAAGCGTCTTTGTCGTCGTGTCCATGTCAAAAAGACTTTTCTTCTAAATCATCCGGAAAACGTCTTGAGTCATCATTCTAGCGGCCGAATTATTATTATTTTTTCTCGCGTCGTCGTCGTCGTTGTCGTCGAAATTTCTCTCGGACCCGAATGCTTTGATCAGGCCAAGTTTTCTCATTTTTCATCTCTTTGGCAACCGGGAGAGAAGATTATGCAGAATTTGTTTTTATTTATTTATTTATTTTGGTCGCAGGAATGCGATGACGTCAAATGTGCGAGGCGCCGTTTCGTCTGTAGCATTCTCGCACACGCGAGCCAAGAGATTGTCGCAAGCCTCAAATCCGAGTTTGACTACAGTACCGCACAGTACTTAATTCCTTATCTTCTGTTTCCCGCATTCACGACGCGATTGTTGATCATAAACACCATGGGAAGCCGAAAAGATAAACGGGGAAAATCTCTGAAGGATGTCCGAGGGACGAGAGCTCTTGAAATTGTTTTTAAAATTAATTTGGATCGAATGTTTTCAGGGTTTTGATAGATTTGGCTAGATGAACGTTTTAGGCGATGAAGATTGAGCTTTTATTCTAGACGAAAAAAAATCTCGTCAGTTAGGCATTAAGCCAAGTGTTGTGTGAATTGAAACTTGTGTTAGATTCTACAGTATATGGGCATCTGACCTTAGACTGGGTTTGTGTAGTTATATATATATTTTTTTAGGCTACGTTAGCTATATATTTAGGGCTTGGATTGGCAAGTTTAGTGCTGAATTTTTAGTAACTTGGGATCATGTTGACCCAAAGTAATTCGATGTTCAGCTGGTTTTGGTACAGTTTTAAAGAAATTCGTTTGGAACTTGACTAGGTTGTATCGACGTTTGGCTGTGGTGTGAACCTTGATAACTCTAACCTCCTTAAGTCAAAAAGCCTTTAGGTCGAATTCTTTTCCAGGTCCCCCCATCTGAATCCCCTCAGAAACAAGAGATTAAAAACCTCCTTAAGTCAAAAGCTTTTCCCCTCAAACCTCCATAAGTCGAATTTTCTGTGGCCTGTTGGCCATTCTTTTCTTGAAAAAAAAAATAAAGAAAAAATCTATAAAACCATAAGTTTATGTGTTTTAAAGGAAGTGAAAGACTTAATTGGGCAAATGAACCTCTGCCTCCAAGTTCAGCAGCCTTTCAACTCATTTAAGAATCCATTCAAGCTCCAGAATATCACCATTTAAAGTACCTTTTTCTAATTTTCCCGTAAATTAGGGCTTTGTATTGTTGTTCTAACGTATAAAATTCAAAACCTCTCTGAGTCAAAACTCAAAACCTCTCTGAGTCAAAACCTCTCTAAGTCAAAACCTCCCCAAGTCGAATGTTTTGCAGGTACCTTGAAATTCGGCTTAAGGAGGTTTCGACTTTGAGAGTTTTTGAATTTTATTGGTTGGAACAACAACACAAAGCATTTTAGTCTGATAAACTTAGAAAAAGGTACTGTAAATGGTGATATTCGACTTAGAGAGGTTCAACTTTTGGTCTCTTCAAGGTAATACAGTATATGTTTCTGGCCAAAAAAGTTTTGAAGATGGGTTAGATGCTTAGATCTCAGATGTCTTAGAATAATTGTCTTCCAAAAGCCAAGATTGTGGTGATATCGTCTACTTACTGTACCTATCAGTCAAGTGCATCTTTCTTGAGGGTTTCAAGATAAATGTCGTTGCCGTTTCTAAACCATTTTTCCATTCCTATTCTTAATCGCTGGAAGTGAAAATCGCAGGAATGAGGCTTGCGTTTGTCATTACTGAAATGTGCAAAAGCTGAAATCTGAGCCCAAGTCCAGGGGTTTTTTTGTTTTCGTGTGCTGCACAAATGCATGTAAGAAAACCTGCAAATCTTTGCGAGAAATTTGGCTCGTGACCCCTATGACGCATCTGGCAACTCTGCCGGCCACGAAAAAGCTGTTCCAACCAATTTTGAAAAAAACTAGGAAGAAAGCTAGAGAATAATTCGATTAAAAAATGTTCGTGCAGTCGAAGGACGCAAAA